CTGTCAAAAGCTGGGGTGCCTTTCCTTTTCTCCAGGTCCCTTGCCCGAAGGAGCAAGATTTCTGAAATTGCTAACAGTGGGTGAGAGAGGAGAGAGAGAGAGAGAGAGAGAGAACCCCCTCTTTTTCTTTTCCCATTGAATTCAGAGGAAAGTTTAGGTTTTCAGTTATTCCAGTGGTTTGCCTAGAGCAGTGGTTCTCAACCTTCTGGCCCTTTAAATACAGTTCCTCATGTTGTGACCCAACCATAAAATTATTTTCGTGGCTGCTTCATCACTGTAATGTTGCTACTGTGATGAATCGTCATGTAAATATCTGATATGCAGGATGGTCTCAGGCGACCCCTGTGAAAGGGTCGTTCGACCACCAAAGGGGTCGCGACCCACAGGTTGAGAACCGCTGGCCTAGAGGCACTTCCAGGCCCAAGAACTGATGAAAAAAGGGGAGATATGCTTAAAGGAAACAAACTCTGGGGCAGACAAGACCGCGGCCATTGAGGCCCCCACCGCCCAGGTAACAAATACCGCCCTGGACTCTCCGGGGCGGCCTCGGGCCCAGCAGGAGGATGGGGGGCCCAGGACACACCAGCAGGCAGGCTCCCCTGAATGGGCCACCGGAAGCGCGCGCACCCTCAGGTTCCGGCATCTCCAGTCAGACGGGACCCGGAGGGACGACGGCCTGGCTTTTTAGGAGAAAAATCTCCAGGCCTCTCTATCGCCGAGGAGATATGGCTGCTCGCCTGAGAGCTATGAACCTGCGTCGTCGTGTTTGCTCGTCAAACTGTCAGTCATTTTTCCATTTCATAAAAAAAAAAAAAGAATGCAAAAACCTGAATTCAGAAGCACCGACTCCTGAGCTTTTTCCAGAGGCGAAGGCCTTATCTCCAGGTCACTGTACCAGTAATTCTGGCCCGGACACCGCGCTAGGAAGCCCCCCCAAGTCAGCCCTGAGGGGTCCGCACTGCGGGGCGCAGAGCAACTGTTTCCAACCAAAGGTTTCCTCACCCGCCAATCGCGGGCCCTGGCCGCTTCAGAAAATCATAAACCCCTACGGGAGGTGAATGACACGAAGGCCAGCCTATCGGCGTGGAGAAAGTGGAAGGGGGCGTGGTCAGAACTCACCAATAGTATCGAGGCAGTTGTTGTTAAGGGGAAGAGAGAGGCCTGCGAGCGTGCGTGAGGACGCTCGGGGGAGAAGGGAGGCGTGCCAGGAAGCGGGCTGAGCCAATGGCCGCGGTGGGCGGGCGGCGGCGCGCGTGCGCGCTGGGATCTGGGGCTGCGGGCGGAAGGCTGGAGGGTTGAGGAAGGGGACCACGCTGTTAACTTAGAGTCGTTGTTGTGACCACGTCGGTTGCGGCCGGGACATTTTCCTCTTGTTTTTTGTTTTTTCTTTTTTCCTTTTTTTTTATATTTGGTGTGTGGGTGTCAGTGTTTTTTTTATTTTT